ATGTCTGCCACTGCCCAGTCCACTGGCAAGGACAGATCAGGGGAAAAGGGGAAGAACACAGATGACTAAAATCTACCGCAGCACAATCTGTAGACTGATGACAAAAAAGTGGGAAAGGTAGAGTACGTCTAGCAGGTTCAGAAATGGAGAGGAAAAACACAGGGTGCACTAGACAAGGTGACAATCAAAATCCACACTGTCCCTGAGAAAACAATTTGAACTGTAACGTTATATTATGAACTTGAAGTATAAGACATAACACCATCGTGCTTACTAGTACCTGTGCATTGGTGGTTGGACAGGTAGATGATGTTTTCAGGTGGCATCTTGGATGGGTCATCACCATACAACACAACCTGTAACATAGAATCATGTCTTTTGTTTTAAATCTACAAAAGACCTTTAATACAATATCCTAATCTGGGCACCACCCAGCGACATTAGGGAGCGGGCAGAAACTACGGAGGATAGCACCCAGGCTAGCCTTATCTCATTGGACTCACAGAAATCTGATGTTCTCTATATTAGGTGTCTACCGATAAATCTACCCCTTCTGAGTCTCAATTATTCTTTTCTGACAGACAATGAAACCCTCTGGACATTGGGTAGTCGGTAAAGAGTTATCTTAAGTAGTCTGGCAACAAGGTTATGACCTTTCACACTGCTAAAGCACGCAATGCATCACAGAATATTGATCCCATCTGACACCTACCCACTTAGCCGCGGCGACTGTTGCAGGGCTTCTCTTGTAATCTTCTCTTGTAATTGTAGTCTAATGTAAAAGACTGCAAGCAAGAGAAGCCCTGCAACAGTCGCCGCGGCTACTACCCACTGTATTAATAGATGTAAGATTATGTCCATTCTGGGGTACTTGAAATAGCACAACTCACCTGAGGTGACATACACAATGATTTTCAAGGTCATTTCATATGTGCAACACTTGAGATGTGCCAAGTAATCTTTCCCCATCTTCCAACAGAATCCTCTCGCTCTCTGAAAAGCTGGAGACCTAAGAGGGTTCAAGTCTGCCCTTGCATCTCCCATTATGACACCCGAAATTGTACTTGGGGGGGGGGGGGTCTTATGGTACTACTGTGAACATTATAAACGACAAATTTATGTTGTGAACCAACAGAAGGCCCGGTTACCTGCACTCCTGTGCAGTGCTCGAAGAAGAAGAGCACCATGCTCTGGTAGACGGTGTACATGAAGTCGTCACCCCAGCGGTACCAGCGGCGGGGGAGGGCCGCAGACAGCAGCTTCAGCGCCGCCGACGTCAGGAAATACGGCGTGGCAGGCAGCAGCATCATGGCACACGGCACCATGTACTTCAGGGACCTCACGTGCACGATAAGGGACAACATGGTCGTCCTGATTAAACTACAACTTGGGGGAAATCGTCATAGAAGCGCGCTATGTCTGCAACACGTGCGACAGCTGAGAAATCATCACAAACCGGAAGTAACCCTGTTTTGACCGGAAGTGTAAGGCGGCCAGTCTGCGCATGTGTAGTCCTGGAAAGAACAGGTGTCTCCTCTGGCGACATATTATGCATTGGAACAAAAAAAAAGGCGGAGAGTAAAATAAAACATAAACATGGAATATTTGAATGCGGAATATCTTTAGAAACCCTAAAACCCCTATAGAAATATCTTTAGCAACCCTTTGTAACCCTTTCTTTGACCTATTTTCCACCTGATTATCAATATATCATATGTAACGTTAACGTCCTTGGCTATAACTTTAATGACCAGACAACAATGACGCAATGAAAGATGGTGACTGTTATCAATACAATGTCCTTGTCGATGCATTACGTATGAATGTTGTACTGACCGTGAACTGAACTTTCACCGACCGACGAGGATGTACCCTGTACGACGTGTTCTAGAACCAGTGCGCTCTGCCCAGAACGTCGCGCATTGTTGTTTCATGTTTATTTACTTCACGACGAGCCAGCGGCTGAGATCGACGGTTCTAATCAGAGAGCGCCGCAGCAGGCATTGGAGCAATATTAGTCTGCCCGTCACGCAGGCTTGCTAGTGCGACAGTCACAAAGGCGGCTTTATCTCTAATAGGGCGTTGTTCTAGCGTGTGGGAATAGACATGTCCCCCTCGAAAGTTGATCCACGCCCCTCAGAGTCAGACCAGCCCTCGGCAGTAGAGATGGCGGAGAGCGAGGAACATCCTGACCACGGCGCCCACCACGTCCACTTCGGCCGGACGGATCGGACGGAGTTCAGCGTGACGACAGCCGCGTCACAGGGAGCTGCGCCTGCTCAGCACGAGCAACACAGTAACAGCAGCAACAGCGGCGCCAGCAACGTGAATAGCAGCAGCAGCAGCGCTTTCCGGGCGCCGCGGAGTATCCTCAGGAAGGAAGAACACAACTTTGACCACGACTCTGGGTGCGACTTGGATATACCGTTGCCGGATCATCTCGCACAAAGGGTAAGGACAAATATTACATGTGTACAACAACTCAACTGTGATACCAGACAACAATTTTGGATGTATTACGAGTATTTTTCTTTTTAAAAAAAATCAAGATCCAAGATTTGAGGATTTTGAAAAGGACTTCAGGTGACGTTCATAGATTTTGATGAAGTTTCATCTTTTTAACAAATCGAGTTCCAAGGATAATGATTGACCACCAGCCCTGTTATCCTAGTGGTAATTTATTCCCAGATATGAAAACCTCCGTCATCACTTCACAGCACTCATATCAAGCTATGCAGCAGATAGGTTTAAAATTTAATGTGTATGTTCTAGAGTATGCCGAGTGAAGCCAGTGTGGTATCTCCTTCCGTTCTAGCGCCGGTCAGCCCGCCTGTCCCCGACACACCCGCACTACGGACACGGACCCAGGCGCCACACGGGCACACCGTCCTCCTCCCGGGGTTCTCTGTGTGATGACGAGTACTTCGCACATCTCAGTCAGGGCAGGCGGAAGTGTGAGTGCCTTTCTGTTTACTAGTACTTTTCTTTCAGTATTTTTCACATGTTTGGCTTTTGACGTTTGTGCCACTTATATATGCATCGGTTGATACCACTGTGACAATACACCCGTCCCCTGCTCACACCCTATATAGCGGCCGGGCACCGACGCGAGAGTGGCACTAGTTCGGCCACCGGCAGCTTCGTCAGCCTTCGATCGGACTATGAGTGGTACTTGGAACTGACAGACACGCAGATGACAGCAGCGAAGGAGATCCTACATCTGCTGGTTACAGTCCCTCCAGCCAACCTGGACGCCGACCAGCTGTACAACACACTGAAGGTATTACTTAGGCCTTGCCATAGTATCAAACTTAAATCAGATATAAGTGAACTTCAATTACAAAACTGAATATCGTTAGTGCAATTGACCTACAGTGGGTGTCACTGGGAGAAAAATGTCCAGACTATGCATAATGTACAGAAAAGAACAAGAAACCGTCATGCCCTCAAATATCAGAGTTATCAACCAACCAACCAACAAACGAATTGAGGTGCAAAGATCGGGTGTAACAGGACGTTCGCTGCCGCCGCGCCGCGTGCCTCAGTTGGTATGTTACGCCGAAGGGCGGTTATACCGGCTATATCGATACCGATACAGATACAGACAGAGAGTATTGCATGTCTGACCTTGCCCGGGATGGCTGACCATGCTAACACTTGTACAGTGTCCATGTGTCCCTTGTGCGTGTGAGTTGTGCCGTATTCGTGCCTACACAGACGAATTCCGTGTTAACAGCTAGCGTCCTTATGCCCCATGCAGCCCCTGGACGCAGGTGTGACCAGGCAGGAGGTTTACCAGGTACTGCACATCCTCAGTAAAGACGCCGACCGGGTGGAATTCGAGGAGTTTCTCTACGCACTGGCTTACATCGAGAAGGAAGGTTAGACCACGATTTCAGCTCCCTCTCTCCCTCTCTCTCTCCCTCCTCCCCCCCCCCCTCTCTCTCGTGTATGTCCCTCAGTGCGTTCTAACTCCCCCTCAGTTGAAGACCGTTCTTGATGTGTGTCCTGCAGCAGAAAAGACCGACCAGGAGCCCACACCAAAGACTGTCTACACACATCGCCAGAGAGTGCTGTACACCGCCATCGCCGTCCTGTCTATGAAGGAGTCTGCGAGGTCATTTGGCGACATCGAACGGTACTACAGCATGAAGCGCCGCTTGGCGCCAGAGGTAAATGAAATGCTTTCATCTATGATACAAGTGAAAGTTAATATCGAAATACAAGTAGTGTCGAAGGGACAATTTGCAAGGAGGTAAGAGTAATTTATCATGGTGCAAATTTTTTTGCGGCAGATTTGTCTTACATATCGATATTGTCGATGTAGTAAATAGAATACTGTTCTATTTACATGTATTGAGAGGGGACATGGCATGTTGTTTGTGTAACTGTTTGTACTCTTATTTCCGCATGTCATCGCAGGTTCTGTCTCACTACACGGCGGGTGCCCGGCTGATCGGCCTGACAGAGCGACAGCTTTCACGTCACATTTCCCGCCTTCATGCGGCCTTCAAGCTCACGGACGAAGAGAGAGAATCGCCGTACGCTAAGCCACTGCCGTTTGTAGCATCAACGCCGCCAAAGAAGCTTCAGCCCAAGATGGCCTGGGGAGCGAAGACGGAAGGTGAGCGAGTCGGTAAGGCAGGTCCAGCCGCCACTATCGATGGGACGTCTCCAGCGAGCAGCCGTCCGAAATCTGCACCTGCCAACACTACCCGGCAGAGGGCGCATGTGTCTAAAGGCCGGGCAGCATCAGGTATTGTCATTTTTGTAAATTTGCATGTGGATTTAAGTGAAACCCTACGTATGACCCTGAACTCATCTGTCTCGGCTGTGGATAGTTTCCTGACGAGGTTTATGATCAGCAGGGAAGAACAGATCACAAGACTAAGAAGATTACCCAGCGCTCTTATAACCAACACTCTTCCTAGTAGCTACATGTACATGTAACGTTATCCATCATGTGCAAGAGAAACAGTGAACAGTGGCGGTGTAGTGAAATATAATGTGAGTTCCTTTCAGCCGTTGATGCACAGTAAATCAACCATGAAATAGCAAGCTAAATGATCAATGTGTATGAAGATATACATGAGGAACAGAACAGTTTTGCGCACGGTGGAGTTAGGAAGGGCGAAGATAAATGGAATTTTATGATACGGTTCTGATACTTCCGGGGATGGGGTTGTCAGAACTTGTTTCTGCCATAACACTCTACATTCATACCTACAGGGAATATGCATGTTACTGTATTCTTTCAGATAAAGATAGAAAATCCTCAAACTTTTGATTTACGAAAAACGTAACGTTCGATGTTTTCTGTGCCACAGAAAATAGTTAACTAGTCTATGTACCGTGTCGTCCTCCTCCAGCCAAGTCGCCGCGCAAACCGCACGTGTCCTACCGCCTCCATCGGGCCGACGTGCCGCTGCCGGCCATGCCGTCCTCGGAGATCCGCACATTCGACGATCTAGACGACATGCGGAAAAAGGTTGGTCATCTTTATTCCATCGTGGCCCACTCAGAATCATGCAATTCACCAGTGACAGGCCATTTTAGTGGCATCCTATAACGCTGCCCCGGTGTAGAAATTATAAATGTGTACGATTATCAGATTTTTCTGGTATAACAATCAAAATGAAATACGATGGTAGAAGAAAAATGGCTTCAATGTTCCAAAACTCGCTACAAACTCTTCAAATCATTCATTTTACGTTCGAATTCCCTGGGTTCAATGTTCTAAAAATCGCTACAAACTCTTCAAATCATTCATTTCACGTTCCCCGGGCGCCCACCAGCCGTTCTTCATGTTACATGTACGCACGGCTCTTCCCGTGGCACAAAACGTGAGGTATCTATAATGCGGGACGGCACCGGCGGTAATTAACACCCTGTGGCCCGCAGCTACTGAACCGACGGACATAAAATGATATACAGAAAGGCCTGGAAGACATCTGGGTCTTCCGCAAGGTTATCCATTTGTGCCCTTTGTAAGAGAAAAGTGATTTTTATACGTTCGTTCGGGGAAAACGCTTCGTCTCCAAGAAAGGCCGCTGCCCCGCTGGTCATAACGGTGATACATGGTGCGTGACAAGACAGTCTTAAGAGAAACATTTGAAACGTTTTGTAGCTACTGATTTTTCCATCTGATTTTTACGAATATTATGGCACATTTCTTACTAACGGCAGACAAGCTTCCATGTCATCACTACATCACTACATCCCCAGGCAATTGTCTTAATTTAATCGTACTCGATCGTTCACATTTGATTACCATACTTTTTAGTTTTTACACATGAACAAGCAAATGCGTATCAACTGTCCGAAAAATAGTAATTGGCAGAGAAAATAAATTCTCTTTTATGTCAATAAAGAGATACTTAAGCCCTGAGATCTACATCTTCGCGCTTTGAGACAGAGCGAGCAAAGTAGATCCAGCCACGCAGTAATGGGTACTTGAAAGTGATAAGCTACAGGAGAATGAAACGGATAACGATTAGCTTTCATTAGTCTCCACCAGGCTTCTTTTGCGGGGTGAATACATCGTAGAAATTGGCCTAAAAAGGGTATTAATTGGCCAGAGAAGGTAGCCGGCCAGAGAAGCTCCATTTCCCCTGACCGGCTACCTTCTCTGGCCAATTAATACCCTCTTAAGGCCAATTTCTACGATTTATTCATCCCGCAAAAGAAGTCTGGTGGAGACTAAGCTTTCATAGCCCCATGGAACCGGCCGCTGGAACTGTCCTTGGTGCTGAAAATGTTGTATCAAATATTATAGTGACTTAGTTGCGATTTGCCCTTTATTAGCTAGTTGATTGAAGTACTAATTCAGTGTCGACATGCCTTTTTTGATTATCTATAGTTACAATACGTTACATATGGGACACTATGGCGCCAATTTGGAAGGCCAATATTAGCGCGATTTGATCGGGCGTGCACGTGGAATGGATCATGTCAAATGACTTTTTTATATTATCGTGGATTTCCCGAGTACATGTAGTTCCCTAGTCTTCCCGGGAGTACGGTTAGGAGCAGGGCTTTACAAGATTTCCATGACTTAATTTGAGGTTTCCCTTTCATTATGTTAATAAGTCGGATACAAAAGCTTGTTCTTGTGTTACATGCAGACACCGGATGCATTGTGGGTAAACCATGACGCCACTCGCCGTCCAGAACGCGTAACAGCTTCTAAAGTGATCAACGTCACTATCTAAGTTCACATCAACAGCCCGAACAAATTGATACCTGAGTGACCGTAGCCAATTGTTTGCTTTATTACATCGCACTCATAGGTGTCCACTGAGATTGAGCGGTACTACCAGGGTCTGCGCAAGTTCGCTGTGAACCAAGCTAAAAACTTCAGCGAGAAGCTTGTGGTAAGTCATCTCAGCCATGAACTCATGTAAACAGAGCAAGGAAGCGATTTCTGATGTCATGTTAAAGATTTATCAGGCAACAGTACGAAGGATGGAATTGAAATCATCATAAAATACACATTTGGAAACTTTTGTCAATCATCATAAAAACACGTTTGGAAAATTTTGTATCAAAAAGGCAATTTTGCTTCCGACGAACTAGACAAATCCGATGTGGCAACAACAGATTAAGCCCGGTATGAAGAGGCAAACCAGAAGAAATAGTTCCCGTTTGAGAGTAAAAATTTCTTTCCTTCAGTCAGATTCCAGACTGCAGGTGGTGCCGCACACGTACTGCAAACCAATGCTGACCTATTTTGATGAGAAATACAGCCGACCTTTTACAGAAAGCCAATAACCAGGAATTTGTAACCAATGGCCGTGCAGAAACTGCAAAGTGCATCCAGATGTGCCACTTCTAACGTGGCAAATGCACAGAGGAGAGTAAGCACAATGGCAGAGACTATGGCAGAGTTATGTGGTGCAGCCTCTGGTCTCTAATAGAAACTAGAAGCACAGGTGTCTGGAGTACATTGCGAAGCGCTGTCAACTGGAAACATACACTCCATCATTGATACATCTCAAGAGCTTATATTTCCAGCTCCATGTTGATTGATTTGGTAACGCTGTGCCAAAAAGGCACTTCAGACCTAATTTCTACTACTGTACGTACATGTTTGAAATAATTTAGTTTTTGAAAAAAAATGCTTCATTCAACGTTGTTTTTTTGTCTGTGCACACAGTTTGAAGACATCCCGGACCAGCTACAGGACAATTATCAGCAGGTTACCAAGGCCTACCTGCCTCAGCGGGAGAACCAAGTCTTCGTCATCGCGCCGTGGATCAACACCCGCAACAGCCTCTTCATCAGGTACAGAGGACCGTCCAGGCCCCGCAGCGCCTTCACGTAAAGGCACTCCCACACACTCTCTATGGGGTACGGAGATAGACAATTCTACGGTTAAGTTTAAGATAACTTGGAAGCAAATGTTATGAAGCATGTGTCAGTGCGTGATTTAAATTTTTGCCGTTTTTTCCAAAACTCTTCTCATTCGCACGTACCATACTGATAGCTGTACTGCACGATAGGTTGCAGATAAAGCGCCGGTAGAGCCTGGACGTCAGGAAACGCTCGTTATTGTCATGAGTTATCGTCATGTAGACAATAACTATTTGTCATTCTTACGACTTGGGATACGTTACACGTCTCTTCTTCTGTCAACAGACAATCCAGGAAGGATAGTGGTCAGAAATCATGTTTGTACGTTGAACGTTTGTTGAATTCACCCGAGAGCTGCAAACTTGACGATGTCATGTCGTAATGATGACAGACATGCTGCACTCGCCGTAAACACGCTGTTACATATTGCAGTTGGCAGGAGGCATTTTCCTTAAGTGGACATACCTGATGATAACTGGATAACAGAAGAAGTCTGTTTTAATAAATCCTGCTGATGAGCTTGAAATCTCCTCGTGCCCTCTTCTGGCGATGATTTGAGTTTCCAACTCATTGGCATGCAACCGCTACTACGGGATTACACGTTTTCGCTACATGTTTATTAATTGAGTGCTCAGGGGAAAATAAGGAGGTGTCCTAAACTAGTAAGTATATCCTACAGGTGGTCATTAAAATTCACAGGTTTCTGGTTGACAGTGTTTTCCAGGGCTGTAGTAGGCAGGATTATGTTTTTCAGGCTTTTGTAACGGAGACTGGAATAAATGGAGCAAAGCATGTGCGTGTGTTTCAAGCCGGATGGAATTAGACCTGATTGTGAGAACGCATAATTCATAACTAATATGTATTTGCGAAAACAGACTTAAAGGGTGTCCTTTAGGACACTTATAATGTAATCGCGTGTTCGCCAGCTGAGTTAAAAGACGCCAAGCTGTCATGGGGACATAGGGAAAACAAATTGACCAAAACAGATTACCTGGTCCTGGTAGATCAGGCATCAGCGGTGTTTTCGTATTGATATGAGCATGTATGTGTTGAATATAAACTCACGTGTACATGACTCCAGTATATTGTTATTTCTGTACGACCCTTTACGGAAACAGCAACGAATATACTGTAGCAAATAACAAATGACAGTCCTGGTCCATATCAGGGAAGTAACAACGTTACTGAATTAGCAGTGACTTCTCCCATATTTTCCGGGAAGTGGTCTTCTGCCGTTGCTCATCTTCCTGTCTAAAGCTCACTCACCGTGGGTTGGTTTCGCTTCATCTGAGCAATTTTGTTTCGGCTGACTTTCCCGAGCTGACGAAGCCAGTTCCGGCGTCTTGGGGATGTCTGGGAAGATATGGACTAACAACTGTCGGGACAGCTACAACTGTTTTAATTAAACCTTATCTTTGTGGCGGGAAAAGCTCAAACTGCTTTCAAAGTACTAAATGTCTATTCAAGAACCCACAGGCAAGTTACTTCCCGGTCCTGTCGGTGGAATATATTTCCAATAGCCACAGAGCAAATTATTTTAGGTTACTCGTCTTCCCCCTGAAGTGTACAAAATTGTTTGTTTTTGCCATTATCACCTTTCCATACTTCTGGATCATGTATTGAATGTTTATGAGTGTGTCATTATTAGGATATACTACTTGGAAATTGACATGGAGACCTTAAAGCTCAGAGTGTTTCAATCCACAAGAGGGCCATTTGGTCGACTAAAGTCAAATTGAATCAAGTAATGAAACCTATTGCGTAAGTCCTAGAATTTCTGAGAAGCTTCTTCCTTCCTGAGGGCTACAATGCCCAAGGCCACAATCCCCTGATTACTGCTGACGACAGCCGGCCTTTGAAAGCGGATCTAATGATTGTCGCCACGATATCCCACTAGTCATTAGTCATGCACATTCACATGCAGCATCCCCTGTTGAAAGTTGATAGAGTGTAATTGCCGAGATGTTACCATGGTGAATTGGTGCTGCAGAATGGAGCAGGTTTAATGGGAATGCAAATGTTGCCAAAGTGAGGAGTTCGGTTTTCCTTTTCCCCTTTCCTAACCCTAACTCCTCTCAACAAGCACAAGGACGTCTGGGTCGCCGATGTCGACGTGGCAGCTTCCAATTCATTACTAGCGTGCTGTATTCCAGTGGGATTCTAAATGGACACTGCTGATCAGAACGTGCAATTTTCCTGCCATTACCACCTGGTCGGGAATTCTCCCGGACGTCGGATAGGGTCATTGCGATCAGACAGGCCTTAATGGTCAGGAAAATATTTGACACCCCTTATTGGTCATTATCCATGACCACCTAGTACCACATTTGTACCTACACAAGCTGCTCTCGTGGTTTAGTGCTGTGGAGAAACTACGCATACGTCTTTCGTCCTTTTTATGCGTGGTCTAAGGATGAAACTCAATCCCGGTGTCAGACGTAGTTTGTCTCCTCCAGACGTGACGGATGTCGTGGCTTGTTACAAATTCTGTACCAAACTCTGAATACTAACAATGTGGATTTTCTTCTGGCACATCCCAATGCATCTGCTGGCAATGTAATGCTGGGAATCATGGTCTTCGCAGCACTGTGCGAATGCCTTGGAATGATGCTAACAACCACATTGCGGCAATACTTGTATGCCCTTGTCGTCATCTAGTGTTCCAGCTTTTTAAAGGCCTTCTAATTTGGATTTACTGACAATTCATTCAACTTGTAGTTCCTAGCACCCCAAAGCCCCATCAGATCAGAGACGACAAGTTAAGTAAAAGCAAGCAAGCTTGTAGAGGCACCAGGTAGTTCTAAGCTTAATGCCAGTCACGGCAGCAGGTTTATGTGACTAATCAACGTTAACCCAGACCCGAAGTGTGTGGAAACCCGAACTGCAATGTAGCTGTTGTAGGGCGTTGTAACATACCAGCATCAAAGAAGGCAAGAAACAAATTGTGACAAGTCGTTTGATGACATACAAGCATCCTCCGCTGGATACATGTGTTACACAGACATGTGTTTATACCGGTTGGCCCTACAGATGCCGGTAGAGAAGATTTGTCAGTTAGGAGCCAGATCACGTAGGACAGGACTAACCAACTCGCCCGCGCAGTCAACAACGCACTTCCGGTTAGAACCAAAAGTTCCTATCAAACTGTAGAGTCCAGGGAGCAGTGAACTTCGATTTGGTGCGTAAATCGTTGATATAATGATCTGATCGGATCCCTGTAGACACGTTCATTAGCCCACACGGCTACAGCACAAAAGACTTCCGTACGCGAGATCAGGCCAAGATCAATAAGACCGGAAACTGGTGCGGCTGGAAGCTCATTAACTGCCCGGCCTCTTTTCAGCGGTTCAGCGGCATGTTTAACTTGGGATGATGCAGGCAAGTGTGGTCTGCCTGGAAAATTGGTACAAATCAGCGTTAAGCACAGCTGTGGTTCAGGACCTGTAGCTGGGGTCGACCGTCCATTGTCCTAGATTAGTATACATTCAAAACCCGACCTATTTGTTGCATCCTGTCCATATATACCTCAACTACAGATCTAGAATAGGAACATTTCATCAATCGTCTGTGATTGTCTGATTGTAAATCAACCACGACGATAAATTTATGAAACGAACACCAGGGCCGAGTTAACCAAAGTTTAAGTTTCCGTACTTTCTCATTTTAGATTGAAGATTCCATTGCGAGACCGGGGGTTCGACTTCAGTCGGTCACGTAACTGTTTCGACTGCTGTTCAAAGATTCAAAGATGGGTATGAACATGGCAGTCCCTTTTCTAACATCATCGGTATGAATATCTAGACTGGGAACCTGATATCAGATGAGTCGGAAGTCCGGTGATCCGTGGTATTCCGTCTTTGAATGCGGCAGCCGGCACAAACCTCCAAAAGTTGACTAAAGCCATAAAACTTCCCCGTCCTTTTCCAGTTACCATCTATCAGTGCAGTAAACGTATTTAGACGGCTTCTTATCACATCAGCAACGAAGCCGTAAGCCTTCCTCGAGTCGCAGGGTAGATTTCTGCTCAAGCTGGCAGAAAAAAAGGTAAGAATGTGAAGATTCCGGCACGTCAACTCGCACCTGGAGTGATTAGTCGCCTCTTTCTGCCTCTATATATGTTCACTAAATTACCCGATTAACCCAAAGGGAGGCCTGGTTCGTGATACTCTTTTCCACCCTGTTGCCAAAGATGTCAGTCACAGTGTTATACTCGCTACGGTTTGAGTGGTGAATTATGGCAGGGATTCTCTGTGATGGTCTGGGCGCGCTGCTGGTGGAACTAATTGCTTGAGCAGGCAGCTTCTCGTGTGAAATGTACATGACATTCATACCCTGAGTGTTAAACTCAGATACGTAGGTGAAAGTTGGACATTCAGGTAATAAGATATGTCAGGTAATATGAACTGTTAGTTACTCAAGCAACTGGATATGTGAAACTCAGAGTTTCGAAAGTAATTGTCTCCACATGGTAAACGAATGACAGGCTTACTAGTTTGAGTTTATTTCCCTACACACATCAACATTCAAAAGTTTAAGACATATCCAGGGGTGTAAGCACCTCGCTTTTTTTGCTAACGCCCATGCCGCATGCTAATTTTCCGCTTAACAAAACCTAGTGAGTTCCTTCTTGTCGTATTGTTGATCTTAACAATCTACTTACTACATTCATGGCACCCTTTCCTGGGAGTGATTACATGTACAATGGGCTGCTTCCTGGTAGACATAAAAGTGAACCACAAGATTGCTATTATCTTTCAGTTGATTGATACCCTTGGGCCTATCGCTATCGTAAGCATGATGGAAAAGTCTACGAGCCTATCTAGCTGCACGAATTTATAAAGCCAATAAGCTGATCAGCTAAAACTATCAAGAATCCGTGGATGAATCTGGAACTCACTCCTAGACTATTTTTCTCAAACTGCAAATAACGGACGCGGAATCGACAGTACTTTTCTTATCCTGTTTAATTCTTATATCCACAGAGTACAGGCACATGTACATTATATATGTCATGTCCATTGTAGAGTAACCCTGACGGTATCATACTACTCAAGACGACACCATTCGAAACTACGTCCACAAATCATGCAACGTAACAATCATAGATTGTACCCACAATGACACGGTACATCGCGAGTCTGTTCGAATATCTACCAGCAGCAGTAACTGATAAATGCCTGTAAGTAAACAACAATCTTCAACAGCGATCAAATGTATAACAGCGATACCTGTAGCCTTGTTAATGCTCTCGTGTACCTATTAATACTTTTAATCCTTTTGTTATACACGTGTTCCTATGATTTAACAATATCTATAGTATGGCATTTTCCTATGATGGGCATGGTGGCTATGATAACTTTTCAAATATGTTTTTGTATATAGGCGTTTTTTTACAACATTAAACTTTCCCCACAGTTGCAGCTGCCAATCAATATCATTTACCACTCGTACCTCTGAAACAGTGTAACATTGAGTAGTTATAAATCTATATACACAAACATGTATGCACGTCTCTGTGGATCACATCACACTCTTGATAGATAATATGTCTAAATATCTATATATCAATACATCTGTTGTTTACATAACCATTCAAAAATACGACAGGTGATTTACGTACATTTCCAAACGTTCTCAAAACACCTTTGCAAATACTAGTAAACGAAATGTCATTTACAAATACCATATTACTTATATCACATTTGGTCCATCATCTCATTTTGTTCCAGCTATATATCTGTTTTCTCAATATCATATTTTCCGTCTACTATGCAGTGGACGAGATGCTTGAGATGCCGAAGCCATGAAACATATAGTACGTTTTACTTGAAGGCACCCAAAGCGATTTCAGGGCAACAAAACTGGATTTTCTGGTCATTTTTAATGTTAAAGCAGCCGTATGCCATCATTCACTTACTGCATTTGGAATCAGTCCCGTAGCCGCAGGCCGTGTGGGCAGTTTTCCTATCTCATACGGCTGAAATGGGATGCCGTTGACGGAAAACAGTAGCTTCTTTTGTATCTTAGTTCTTAGCAATTTATTGGTCGTGCCAAAAAACAAAGGGACTTCTGACACTTTTTTTCCTGGGCTATTTTAAATGCTTTAAGCCTGAACATATACTAAGAAATGGCAGTAAATGTCAATATCTGAGAGATTTACTCATCCGGAATTTTTTTCTGTTTTCCCGCCCTGATGAAATTGCATTGGATATCTTAAACAGAACGGAGATACACAGTATACACATACACAAATATCTACAGTTAACGTTGTCACAACTGTACAATATGATCCATATATTTCCGTGGATATCTTTGTAACATAAACATTTTAATTAAGTCAGCTTCACATCTTCACTTACATTACGTTTTGGCGGTAAACTTCATGACGCTTCAATTTTAATGTGCTATTTCAAACAAACGGTGAGCACGTATATATGGTATGTTATTATTGAGAACTTGTTGTTTTTGAAGACAGCAGCGCTATACGATATTGTGGTAAAGGAGTTTACATCTATCGAACACGCATGGCTTTGAAACAAGATCCTCCAATGAGTGTTTTATATCATTGACCAAGCCTTACGAGCAAGGCTTTGTAATAAGGCAGGGTATTACCAAGTCGTCACGTCACTCTGTAGATATATTATCTATAATTGATTCATATTAATTATCTTATATTACATATCACACATACTTAACGGAACCAATCGCCAAATCAGTGACTCTCAATCGCACAAGATAAACATAGAGGTTGAATGGTCATCATCGATTTACCAGCTTTCATTTGCATACAGAATGAGTGTGTGTAAGTTGCCATGTAGCTATTCATTTTGTCAAAATCTTTGTTTTGTTAGAGATTGATCGACTCTTGTTACCTTCTTACAGCCTATCCCGGAGGTACAACTGTCACACAACGTCTTTTTTCTTTTTTGGGGGGTGGGGGTGGGGGTACATTTTCACAGATAGGTAGTCTCATTTCTTCTATTGATATGGTACTCAAAGTTTGGTACTACATCGTCTATCTCAAGGCCCACCAGACCCTTGTGTCTGCGCTTGCAGGACGCCTTGCCGAGGGGAGGCTCGATGTTTTCGGCCGCCGGTTCGCGGAACTGGCGCGGGCAGTCGTGCACCAGGACGATTCCGCTGTTAGTTTCCGGCAGTCGAACCTCGATGGAGCTGACCTCCGTGCCGTTGCCAGGACTCGGGCTCAGGGATTCCAACACCGGGCTCATGCTGATCTCGTTCTCGCGGATCTCCTCCAGTGGGTACTCGTTCTTTGCCACCTGGGACGACTTTTCCTCGGAGATGCGGTCCAGCGACCCGATCCGGCTGTCGTTGGACGCGCCGCGCACCGGCCCGTTGGACAGGACGGTGGCGGTGGTGGACGTCTTCTGCACCGAGGAAATGTCGGAGCGGTGGTAGCTGCGGGCACCGAGGCCAGACTTCTGTAGAGAGGACAGAAGCTGTTTTAAATTCTCTACATGTAAGCGATGAAGGAGTGCGTGTGAGGATACATATATGCTAGCATGTAAGACATGGGTTATGTACACTTCAGCTGTTGTCAAGGCTTCCTCATTTGATGGCCGAATCAGCTGGAATTCAAAAACAGGTCGTACAATGCGGACGGCAGCAGAATGGATAAACATTGCGTTTTCATGCTCGACACGTGTCGAAATCAAAACAATTCAGGATTAACGGTGCAATTAGGGCAAAAGTGTGGAAAAACACGTCTGGGATGTGCGTCACGGTTTCCCCACGGAGAGAGAAGACGGATTGCATACATCTATCAGTCCACATTGCTGCGAGGAAAGTCATGCGTGAGTTATGGGGACGGGCAGTGAGTTCCTCCCCTCTCCCTGTGGCTTAAAACGTATACAGATATGTCTTCTTCACTGCATCTCATACGTGAATGTCAGTGAAGATGGTGCCATACATGTAATTTCTCCCAGCGTGCCCGAGATTTTCACCAAAGTTCTGCATTGCTAGATTACTTCAAGTGCCTGTCATTTCCCGGTTACCCACTTGTCTATGTCTACTTGACCGATGATAATCTCTAACCTTGAAGCGGTTTTTGCAGAGTAGAACTCGGAACTCGTGACGGAAACGCTTGGAGGCCAGGTTGTACAGGACCGGGTTCAGGGCGGAGTTCAGGTACAGCAGCACCTGGAAACACAGAGGTGTAATGTTGCTTTAAAGAGCACGGTAAAAGCTAACCATACAAAAAAGTTTTACTGAACCCACACAAACTTTATCTTCGGGAGTACATAAAGGTTTGTGCCCTCTCGAACAAACTATAAGAACAATATCTATCATGTGCAAACTACGTGAAATGACTGATTCAGCACGGACGATGCGTGGGCGTGCCTTACTATGGATGATGGCGCATAGTGGCGGGGGTCTGCAACCTTTTCAAGATTTTTCAGGTCGTTAGATTGAATTTCACAATCCGTTTCTTGCCACTGAAGATGTTTAAAAGGTTAGGAGCTGACAAAGATTTACATTCCAGTTGGAACGTTTCCAGAAGTTTCTCTTTCCTTGTAAATTGGCATATGTTTTGCAATCCTGGAACGACCTGTTTTAGTACAATTGGACGGTACAATAAATCACTTTGTGCCTGTTGGTCCCGGTTACGTGATTGGAATGAAAGCAGTAACTAGACAGAAAAGTTGTTAAATTTCGCACAGAGCCATTTAATGAGTGACATAAAACAGAGAAGCGTGTCGACCCATAACTCTAAGTCCAATCTTACGACATCAATGATGTTTTCGTGCTGTCCGAGGGACTTTGAATTAAATGGAACGTGTGTTTTCTTTAGACATCTTACTTATACATGTAATACCTTTCTAAATGTTTCTATGATATTGGCTACAAGGCGCCCTATCAATGTAATTATCAGTGTATGAATGTCTCTGCTATTAGATTTTGTCCAATATTGGCAGCTTCAGCGCTGTTTCGTACATTGATTCCTTTATTTGCTCAATGACCCTAATGTCCACCCGAGTATATCAGATAGAGGATCCGCGCTCAGTGACCATAAAGACCTTACCGTGCTGACATAGTCCATGTTGAGATAGACGACCTTCTCGGTGGACCCGAACATGTCGGCGTACACGTACATGAGCCGCAGGGCGTGGTACGGGGTCCAGCACACGGCGAACGCCAGCACCACCAGACCTGGACAGCAACAACACAATACAACATACAGGTGGAGTCGAGACGGGGGACGCTATGAACTTATGGTCCACCGCTTAATTCATCATCATGTGTGCCGTCACCGTGTTTATGTCAAGTGTTGGAATAGAAAAAGAGAAATTACATGTGCTGTTGTGTGATTTGGACAGGTGTAATCACTGCCGATATTACATGTCATTTGTGCATTGAAACACGTCGTTGATGGTAATGATGTCCGCCAATCAACATTGTTCTTCTAAATGATTTATCGTTGGCGTTGTTCAAAACCTATTCAAAGCAAGACACTGAACGGATCTAAACTTTGCATTCGGCCGATTGTATTGTAAAACAGACCTACATTTGCCTAGTAATAAGATGTGGAATACGGTTTTCAGTACAGTGGAGGATCTGCCCAGCTAGCCTCAAAACCTCAGCTATGTTTGCAAATGGGGAAAACAGAGCACAGTTTTTCATGGATAACAGGTATTCTAGAGGCACAGAATGCAAACGAAATCCGTCTCTTGCCACTGAAAATGTCTAAAAAAGTTAGGAGCTGACAAAGATTTACATTCCAATTGGAATGTTTCCAGAAGTTTCTCTTTCCTTGTAATTTGGCCCAAGTTTGCCATTGTGGGACGACCTGTTTCAGTACAATTGGACGGTACAATAAATCACTTTGTGCCTGTCGGTCCCGGTGACGTGTTTGGAATGAAAGTAGTAACTAGACAGAAAAGTTGTTAAATTTTGCACCAAGCCATTTAATGAGCGACATAAAACATAAAAAGGGTGCCGACCCATAACTAGTGTAAGTCCAATCTTACGACATCAATGATGTTTTCGTGCTGTTCGAGGGACTTTGAATGAAATGGAACGTGTGTTGTCTTTTGATACAAACATCTTACTTACAGTACCTTTCTAAACGTTTCTATAATATTACTCAGTAATTGGTCTTTTTCTCAGAAAATCTTGAACATCTTTAAGCCTGAAGTGTCACCAGTAGTAAAAACTGAGGCTGCAACCGTTACGATGTTTTGTAAATGTATCAAAAATCATGTTGACAACAGACGTCGCTAAGAAATGGAACCACCATATCATATAAAATGTATGATGATCAAAACTCCTGTATATCCTGAGCACGTCGGTCTGACTGAAATGGTGCACTGGAGGGTTGAAACTCCCTGCTGTTATCGCCACCCAAGAACCGCCGTGATTCAATGTAACTCACAATAATGAGTCACATTTCTTCTTCCTTGACATGGTAGAAATAAAACGATCCTTTTTATGCCCTTGCTATCAACGTCAAACATGTAGATATGGTGAAGCTTATTTTGTAGTAGTCATCAAAAAAAGTCTTACACTGCGGCGTTGTAAAGCAACCTGATTGCCAAACCAATTTCAACACATTTGCAGCACATACTTCCTGAGGTGTGACACAGAGGGTCGGCTAGGTCGCGTTTATAGCACGTAAATCCTTTTGCATCAAGAGAGACTCGCAAAATGCACACGGATGCAGTTTGGCAGACCATGAAGTGTTCTCGGGTCACAAAGACTCACTTGAGTTGAACCGTTATGCTGATAGAATCGTGCACCGTTGCTTTTGGCTTATCAAGTGAAGTGACATTTTTGTTTGCTATGCAGAGAAGAGATACTTGAAATTGATGAAAATTATACTCTGAGAATGAAGTAACAAACCAAACAATCAAAGCTACCACAAACAGCTGCTGGAGTCCACAATCGAAAGTGTTTGGATGAGGGGATGGGTTGAAACAGATTGGGATTCCACACAAGAAAAACAAGCGATGAGAAGTTAATAAGTTGTTTTTCACAATAATGACTAACACAGACAACTTTCTACGTTTAAATGATGAAAGTATGCCAACGTCTTTTACCAAATCTCCGGTTGTTCTTTGTTTTTTGTGCCTCCCGGTTTGACGTTAAAACACTTTACTGTTCGGTATCACGGGGTATATATATATACGACTTTATGTTGCTGGCAAACGACATTTCTAAGTCGTCCCACTGCCTCCTTACCTAACAGTGCCGGCGGAGTCGTGTTTTCGTGCGACATGCCTCTTTATATGTCACTTAGATGTATTTCTTTGTAGCACACGAACGGCACTGTGCGATTATACTCCACAGAAAAGAAGACCCACAAGGAGCGGACCTAATAAGACAGATATCAATTTACCGACGCGCTGAAGGATGCCGCTTCTTTAGAGGACCTTTTCATGCGACAAGAGCTCAGAATGGTCTTCTAAAGAGCAACACACCAAACATGTTCTGTGGAAAGGTCCTCATTATCAACCTGCCTCCCAGGGATATATGCTTCGTTCTGTGTTGGCGCCATTGAAGTGGCATTTCGGCACCTGGGGGAGTTTCTTTGTGGCAGGCTTTCATGGCTTATTGAACGTTGTTATCTTGACTACACTACAAAACAGTTACGTCGAGGCGGTCCGATTTGCCCGTGTGTCATTGACTCTCAAGTATAGCATTAATATAACTCAATTTTGTCGGTAAAATGGAAAGTTTTAGGGCGTGGCGCAGGGCGTTCGCTACAACACTGAAAGTCTTCAGCGCATTGTAATGTTTGTGTTATCCCAAATTTAAAACAACAAAATTAAAAGAAAGAAACTGTGCCCATTTTAACGATTTATCTTTGTCCTTTGGTAAGAAATATTTCTACTATTTTCATCAAGTTCAATGAATAGTGTACTGGTGTCTATAATGTTTGTAAATTTGAAAACACATTCTTATAGTTATACTTTTGGATGTCATCCTTAGCTGAAAGGCCTCCCAATAATAAGTTAAGCCAGATCCTTAATTAAGTCACACCCTACATCTGTATTCGTATATCCATTGGATACATATTCTTAAAAATGTGCGTTTGCAACGTTGGCGACTGGATTGCTACTGAATAGTATCCATGACTAACTTATGTATTTTTATTAGTATCCATTAAGGTTTATCACTATTAATTAGTTTGTCCCTCCTATGTAAAGTTTGGCTCGTTTAATTGAAAAACAAGTTCATGAAATGTCTGATGTAGAAAGCAGATTCCGTCCTGTTCTTAGTATGATATGAGCCAAGTTAATAAACAGACTGTCAGACACACATATATATATCCTGTCTGGAGCAAACCGCAGGATAGGAGACACAGTGATGTATATGTCTAACATCTGATACAGGCTATCGTGGGTAGACAGGCATGATTTCCCCAGCTGCAAGTATCTTGGCTTCAAGCAAGGAGAAAGTCCTTTTCAGCAATACCTATGAATTATCTTTATTTGATGTTTATGCACGGAGGACTCAAAGCGTCAAAAACTAGACTCTCAGACAGGTATGAATGTGGAGAGAATGTGTTTTCAAGAGCAGCACATAAAAGCCAAAGGAGAGGTACCGTAGGTAGGTAAGCACTGTAGACATAGACATACATGCACACATACACAGAGAGGGAAGGTAATTCTAACGTCGAAACCTCTGTCTAAAAGTTTTCGTCTCCAAAGCACGTTTGTGAACAGGTGACCTGTCTGGGTCACATCACTGGTAAGACGTTACTGAGATGTAGACGTCAGTAGACCTACAAAAAGTAATCATCACGGCATTGCGACAGCTCCGGTAATCGGGAAGCTAAGATGTCAAATCGCCGTCTAATCTACCATGTCGCTGTCTTGATTGCCTGGGGGATGCGGCACAGCCACTGTCGTGACTCTGCCTTCCACAAGTCATCGACCCGGGTCGGATTGCGGGGGAACTTAATAATCGCGGGAGTCATTTGCCGAGAACTTCGCCTACTCAATGTCCCAGCTTCACTGGATTACCGCAGGCTATCACATACTTGTTATCTCCTCCATTAATTGACTATGAACAGGGCTTTGACATTATCATTAACAAGTACGATACCACATTCAGCACCCGTGCTATGGGGACCCCTATAGAGATATCATTCATTCAACCAAGCGATGGCACGACAGTTGGAAGGAAGATGAAAGGACCTGTCATTTTCTTGGTAATACATGTCTATTCCCACCGTCGTGTTGTTGTAAAGGATGTGTTTATATGTTTTAATTACCGTGGCGAAGATATTACTTTCGTTACCCTTGGTTGTTAACATTGATGATTTCTATGTCAGTCAACATTACTTCCGAATCAAGCATGGATCAACGTTGTTAAACTAACCATACAAAATGATTGAGAGCCATATCTTTTAGTTAAATGAGAAAAGGTAACGTTGATATGAACCATGGCAAGGTTGTTATCTTCAACATCAAGTCACTCTATTCAGACTAAACCTACACCGGTCTGAAAAAGCATTAACTAGATTAATGTAATTTTGTAAATGATAACAATGTGTATTTCTCAATTGTTTTGACATATTTTCAACATAGCATTATGTAGCCGGGCCAGTCATGTCGTCGCTGTAAGTTTGGAGCTGAGTCTTAAGCTTTTAGGTTTGACAGTCGTCGATCAGATACGTTGCAATCGTTCACCGACCAAAGTACATATGCGCACCAGTATCCCTCCACGGCATTGCACATTACAGTGAACATTCCAGATGAGTACAAAATGTTTATTTCTTTGAAGCTTCTGTTTATTCACGAGAAGCACAAAGCAGTCTGCATGCCAATTTCCGTTGAAGTGAAGAGCTTGGTGGTATTGGCCGGACAAAATACAACAAATACAGATTCATAGATGTCTTTCACGGTCATCTAAGTATGATGGTAGGAAATTGATATTGGTCCAATAAGTCTGTGTCATTTATTTTTCTTCAGATTTCGGCAATTTCGGTACAGTTCGGTTGCAAACATCTCACTCATTGCGTATAGGATGATAGTGTTTTAACGAGCTGTCTCTTGTGGGCTAAGTGGCATGAATTTACACGGAATTGTCAGTTAGAGTTTCAGTTAGATATTCACGGTTAAATGTCACTTACCTAACTTCTTGACGGCTTGTCCGCGGGTCTTGTTGATGAGGGCGTCGGCTCGCCGGCCCAGCTTGCCGGCGCGGCGGCTCTTCGGGTTGGAGCGGGTTTTGTGCAGCTTGACGCCGATGAGGAGGTACAGCCCGGCCAGCAGACACATCGGCACCACGAAGAACACCACGGTGGCCACGGCTGTGAAGTACTGCACCTGCTCCTGGTACTGCAGCGGGATGGTACACTTGGCCCACACCGACTCTCCGGACGGCAGCCGGAACGACACCTCCTGGATCCACAGGGACACCGGCAGGGAGAAGGCGATGGACAGCAGCCACACGGCACGATGG